TGCTACCTTTAGCCACTTTATGCTACCTTTAGCCACCTTTATGCTACTTTTTTGCCACATTCGTGCTACCTTTAGCCACATTCCTGCTACCTTTAGCCACTTTATGCTACCTTTAGCCACTTTATGCTACCTTTAGCCATATTCCTACCTGTAGCCACATTCATACCTTTAGCCACTTTCTGCTACCTTTAGCTACTTTCTGCTACTTTTAGCTGATTTTTTGCTACTTTTAGCCATTTCTGATACTTACGAGGCACTTTTCTGCTACCATAAGCCACTTTTTTCTACCATAGCCACTTTTTTGCTACTTTTGGCCACTGCATCTCAGAAGCCGAATGAAACACTCGTTGGATCTGATTTCAATTTTCTGTAAGAGTCGACGTTTGTGCAGCTTCCGCTCCTAGTAAACTACTCTGCCGGTCCCTGGGGGTCAGAGTCTGTCAGGGTCAGAGGGCCGCCAGTCCCTGGGGGTTGGACCAGGGTGTCTCAGACTCTCGGGTCGGCAGAGGATGGGTGGAGGGCGGCGTCCTGTCTGAGGCAGAACGGGGAGCAGACGAGTGAAACCAGAACACTGCAAGGGGAGAGAGTACCTGTCTAAATTTAGCTCTGGCCTCTTTTTCTTTCATCCTCCCGTGCGCCACCAGGTAGTCGAACACCTCACCTGGAAAACAGAACCGGAGACATCAGAGAAGGAGACCGAGGCTGAAACAGGAAGCAGATTAAAGCAGAACTGTTCTGTGCAGCTGGCGCAGTGCCACCCATGTGCATGGTCCCAGGGCACGTCTCTGCAGTCCAGCCTGAGCCCCCCCTGAAGGCGTCAAGCTGCTGCTGAGCTGCTCCCCGTCCAGAACCGTCACTTCTGCTCTGAAAGAACTGCAGAGGTCTGCACGTGCAGGTGTGCTCAACAAATAACATAAAACTAGAAACTGAAGAGCTCGTCCTCTGAATGGCTGAACCCTCCCACAGGCTCAGATGTGACCTGCAGAGGCAGACGGAGCGTTCCTGAGCTGCAGCACTCCGTGCGCTCTGACTCAACAACCGACGACAGAAAAACACAGAAACGCTCCGAGCTAAAGAACAAACTGCACAGATCTGTAAAGATAGTCTAATAATTACTCATCTGAGCCTTAAAACTGGATCGTTTAGGAGCTTAAAGCTCAAGATTAAATTATTTATTTTATGTTTCTGCATCAAGAACTAATCTGACAGAACGATAAACACAATCTGGTCAAAACATGAAACTTTTTTGTGTTTTTTATTTGAATTTTCACGTTTCCAACGGTTTCTACACCTTTCAAAGATTACTGGAGGTTTGTTTAACGTGAACTCATCAGGGTTTTTGTAAAAACTGCATTAGAAACAGCAAATAATCCTCGCCTTTGTTTACAACTTCATTCAGTTAAAATCAGCAACAAAAATCTTTAGGTTTAACGCTCTCCACCACTCGTCCTCTCAGATTTATGTTGTTTCCTTTTAAACATGTCCAACTCCATCGCTCTCCCTCTGACTCCGTTTACATCCAGGGATTATTTAATCAAATCGATATTTGTTAAAACTGTCAGAAGTGAACTCGTCAATGTTTGAACGTAAACAAACGACCAATTGGTGGCAACAAAACATGGTTTCACTAATTTATTACAAATTATGAGGGGGACTTTGGAAGCGACTGATGCGTAATGAGTGGGTATTTTTTTTATTGTGGATGATAAACGTAAAATCAAAAATGTTTAATGATTGTTGGACCTGAGCAGCACCTGAAGGAGCTGCAGGAGTTTATAAAGAATGGACAAAGAGTTCAGAGGAGAAGCTCCTGGAGAACAACCTGATGCCCCGAGCGGACCTCAAACATCGGACTGAGGTCCTAATGAAGGCAGTTTTTACTGACTGCTCCTCTGTTGTGGCAACACGGCTGACGAACGCAGTAAATGTTGCATCTGGGGTGGATGTAAAGTGGGTCAGGGCGCAGAAAGAAGCAGCGTGGGACTGAAAACTACAAAATGCTCCAGAAATATTAAAACTGATCACGCCTGCATGAGAAAATTTTCAATTTGTTTTGTTAACCAACTCTACTCAACATTAAAAATGGAAAATGTCCATTTGTGTCCATAATCCGGTGGGATTATTTAACAGATTATGAGGAGCACGGTTGTGTTTACAACAAGAGATATGAGCGGTTTCTTCTCACCTCCGCTGGCGTACTCCATCACCAGATAGAGCGTCCTCTCCGTCTCGATCACTTCAAACAGCTTGACTGAAGGAGAAGAATTCAACATTTACGAGAGGCAGCAATACATTCATGATGAGACACACACGCAACATTTACTGTGAAATCATTTTGTTTTTATATTTTCACTGCAGCAGGCGTTGGGTTAAAGGACCGGTGAGCAGCTGAGACTCGCGCTGCTAAATATAGAAACGGTGGGATGGAGGAGGAGGAGGAGAAAATAAAGACAGTGGAAACTGTTGTTTCCTGCAGAGGACACCGACTGAAAGAAAATATTAAAAGTTGTTTATTAAAGGCTGATCTACACCACCAGGAGAAAACACTTTAACTGATTTGTCAAGAAAATATTAAATAAAATCACCATGAGGTGCAACAAATACAAAGTCTTACAGCATTAAACTTCATATGTGTGTGTGCATATATATATATATATATATATATATATATATATATATATATATAGTTTATTCTTTATTTTTTATGGTTTTACTGAATATAAGAATATTTATAAAGATGAGCTGTTTGGATGAAATCATCTGTTAAAATCTGAAAACATTATTTTATTGTTTAGAACAAAAACGTTAAAGTCTGAACTTACCAATATTAGGATGGTTTAAGATTTTCATTATTCTGACTTCTCTGAAGAGCTGAAAACAACCGAGAGAAAAATAACGAAGTTCATTTTTGACATTTTAACATTTAAATCACATCAAAGAATGACTGAGGTCAAACAAGTTAACATGAAGGAACCCGCTGGACGAACATTTAATCTAATGAGGTGAATTATCAGCAGGTCGGTCAGAGGACAGGAGACAGAGACTTGAGAAGTAAAGACGGACACAGGTTCAGCAGTCTGTCCAAAACTAGAGGAACAACTTCACAGTAAAGGTCACTGCATTAAAACCAGGTCTGGTTCTGGTTCTGTTCTGGACCTTGCTGCATTAAAACCAGGTCTGGTTCTGTTCACACTCAGTTCATCCACAGATGCAGCTTCATCCACAAGAAGAAGCCAGATGTGAACACCATCCAGAACTGCTGCCGTCTTCTCTGGACCAGAGCTCAATTCAAATGGACTGAGGTGAAGTCCAGAACTGTTCTGAGGTCAGACGGGTCCAAATGACCACAGACCCTACATCCTCCGTACTAAAGAGGAGAGGAACCGTCCAGCCTGGATCAGCTCACAGTTCAAACAGCTGCCTCTCTGATGGTATGGGGGTGCATTAGTGCCTCCAACATGAGCAGCTGACACATCTGGAAAGACTCCATCAATGCAGGAAAGTATCTTCAGGTTTTAGAAGATCTGCTCCATCCAGCAGAGAAGATCCAGAACTGAAGGACAGCTGGAGTCCTTCATCAGACCAGAACGGGACAACATGAACTCCAGAACCTCCAACTGGTCTCGTCAGGCCCTGGACATTCACAAACTGTTGTTAAAGAGGAGGAGAGTCTTCACAGAAGAAAGCTGAAATCTTTTTTTTTCATAATTAAGGTTGTATAAATGAATATTTATAAACCCTGTAAACATCTGGAGTGTCCTCTGGCTAACTGTTCTCCTCACACGTCACGACTGCAGATGTTTGGTTCGTGGAGTCTCAAATGACATGCTGTTTTAGTGAAACGTGATCACTGAGCCGTCACGGTAAACATGGTCATGATGTCCAGACATGACGAGGAGTCGACGCTCAGTTGAATCGTGACAGCTGCTCACTTCCTCATCAACATTCAGAACCACCGGACCAGCAGATCCAGCCTCGCTCGTCTGCCGCACGCCCCCGGCAGCACAGAGATCCGTTTATTATTGATCAGCTGTTACAGCAACGTGCCGACTCCTGTCCCATAAAAACATCAAAAGCTTTTAATGTTTCAGGAGGTTGGAGTGACCACGCTGTGGCGTGCTGATGCACAAATCAAAGTTCTCTGTGACGGCTTCAACCAAATCAACGCAGAAGAGGAAAAAAATATATTTGAGCTCATTTAAATAATTTCCTGGTCCTGAGAAACCCAAAGGTGTAGAAATGGAACGAGGATGAGGAGGAAGAACTCCCTCTCACTCCAGCTTTTATTGTGAAAGGACAGATAAAGAAAACTGATTGTTGGAGGAAACCTCATCACTGCAGCCAAGAGACCAGTTGAATCTTTTCTGAGAACAAACCCAAGAAAACGTGTTAAAGGAACATTTCAGATTCTGGGGGAAAAGTCACTTCCTCCTTCTAAGAACGGTGATTTCCTGAAGCCGTTAGCCCGGTTTGTACGGTTGTACAACGCCCGGCACCGGCCTGCAGAAACCAGCAGGAGGACACAAACTGAACCCTTTTCTAGTCAATAAAGCGAGAGGAAGAACACAGCAGAGAGGGTATCAGTAAACTGGGTCAGGAACAAAAAGCTGCAGCTGAGCTGGTCAAACCACTGCCGTCTGCCTTGTGATCAGTACCAGGTCCCTTCAGGTACCTCCAGACCCATTCAGACAAATCCAGACCTCTTCAGACATATCCAGACCCCTTCAGGTTTATTTAGGCCCACGTCAGTCCCCTTCATACATCTCCAGGCCCATACGGGCACCTCCAAAGACCTTGGGGCTTATTTAGGCCATGTCAGATATCTTCATAAACCTTTGTATGGCTTCAGCCCCCATAAGCACCTTCATACTCCTCCAGACCCCTTCAGGCTTATTTAGGCCTCACCAGCCCCCTTCATAAACATTCATACACCTCCAGCCTCCTCAGGCATCTTCAAGACCCCTCATACACTTTCAAGACCCCCTCAGGCATCTTCAAGACCCTTCATACACTTTCAAGACCCCTCAGGCATCTTCAAGACCCTTCATACACTTTCAAGACCCCCTCAGGCATCTTCAAGACCCTTCATACACCTTCAGACCCCCTCAGGCATCTTCAAGACCCTTCATACACCTCCAGACCCCTCAGGCACCTTCAATACCCCTCATACACCTCCAGCCCCCCCTCAGACATCTTCAAGACCCCTCATACACCTACAGCCCCCCTCAGGCACCTTCAAGACCCTTCATACACCTCCAGCCCCCTCAGGCACCTTCAAGACCCTTCATACACCTCCAGCCCCCTCAGGCATCTTCAAGACCCTTCATACACCTCCAGCCCCCTCAGACATCTTCAAGACCCTTCATACACCTCCAGCCCCC